AGCAGTTCTAAATCTCTAAACGCATCAAGCCGAGATGCCGTCTTGTCACGCTCTCGCTTAGACCAAGTTTTGATGAGGCTCGCCGAGCAAAAACCGTCTCTAAACTTTAAATCTAGCAGGGGGGGTCGACCCCCCTTTCCAAATCTCCAGACGACTCTAAACGCTCGCTTAGCCTCGGTTGAGGTCCGCGTATCAAACCTGCCATCAGCACCTGCTAAATTGAGCGATCCGCTCGCCATAAATGGAAAGCGACCTCATGGTCGTGACTTGCAGTCGTCGAGCGTTGGTCTAGCATTACGGATGGGACGAACTGTTCTATTTTGCCATTGCACCCTGGCAGCGAGTGTGACCAGGTACGCTGATGGCATTTAGAACTGCGAAATCTAGAATTTTGGCTTACGGGAAGTCATCCAGTATGTCTGTCCATGCTGCACAACGAGGGAATGACGAGCACCTTTGGGCGGACAAGCCGGAGGAGGCGCTCCCTTATTGAGCCGCGGCCACGTGGCGTTTCCCATTGTGGTGAGGTTAAGGTTGTGGCATGTTTGACCATTGTTTGCTTGATGGTCCGTGCGTGGGAACGTGAAATGCGAACATGTTGGGGGTGTGACTGGCGTGCGTCTCGCCGAACTCGCTCGGACCCGCCCGCTTCCTTTCCTCCTTCATCCACTCGATCGTACGCCAAAGTCGACAGCCACAGCGCCCGAGCCCCTTTGCTCGCCGTCTCGCACGTCCTCGACGCACTTTCCGTATCTCCACCTCGCTCTGCTCTCCGTTGTCCGCTTCGTTTTGCTGCTTTCTGTTCCATCGCGATCCTTTTGTTGATTTATTCCCCGGTCTCACGCGTCGCGCATATACCGCCTCGTCGCCGCCGTCGTCCTCGATAAACAGCCTCAATACTGTCATATACCTCCTCCCGTGTACCACCACCGACCGCGTCTCGCGTTTCTCCCCGTCCGCTCTCCTGCTCGCGCCCCAGCTGTTGATGTTCTGACTTGTTTCACCAACATTACTCATCACGCTACATCTTCCTTGTCCCCTCAGTAACATCCTACTGTGTGCTATAACTGCCCATCCTGGCGTCCACCATCCTTCCTCGTCGTCCGCCGTTAGAGTTGATCAACAGATCGCTCTTAGACAGTCTTGACGCGCAAGCAGACGCGGAACCCGTATCCTCGTCTGACTCAGAGGCTGCGCCGGTCACATCGGGTTCTATCTCCGGCTCTTCTTCTGTCGGTTCTCCATCTGCCGCGCATACCTTCACCATGTCATCCCAAAACAACCAACAGTCCCGACCCCACTCCCCCGATTTGCTACCTCCCCATCTCAAATCTCCCGTTCTGGGTGACTCATATAACACGCAGGGTACGTTAGGTGCCAGCCATCAATCTCTGTATAGCAGCTTCCAGCTTCCCTCCGATCTCACCCCTACCCCTGCCGATGCCGAGGAAGCTAAACAAGGGAGAATAGACGGTTTCTCTAGCGGCCCTTACCGCTCATCTGCTCTATTCAACGCTTTCCCCAACAATCGGTCGCATAATCCCACCTCTACCGGCGTTTCTGCTGCAGCATTCCGCGACACCCTCAGCCAACCATATTCCATTACCACCGATATCTATGGTTCTACGCAACTATCTCTCCAACAACAGATATCGCCGACGCAATCGTCCCTTTCCTCTGGCTACGACTCACTCGCGCAGCAGGCGCGTGGGTTGGAATACCGCGCGCCTCAGATGGCTTCAGGTTTCTCAGGAGCCAACCCTAAACCCACGTACAACAATGTAGATCCGTACAGTGCTAGTTCGACTCTGCTGCAGTCTCACCAGGTGGGCAAGGCTGGCTTAATCGCGAACCCTCAAGTGTCGCAGCAACAGGCGCATTCGCAATCGCAGCACCATCACGCAACATATCACACTGCTCCGCAGATGGGCTATACTAACGGCCTGAGCATGCACTCTCAAACGCCCTTCGGCCCTCACTTACCTAGTAATGGGATGAGCACAGCTACCGTCCCCACTTCTGCGGCTCCGGGGATGAATCATGTGAATGGCGGTGGTGCCTCCGGAGCATCAGGGGAAGAGATATCCACTATTTTTGTTGTCGGGTTCCCAGATGACATGTCGGTGAGTTATCTCCGCTTGCTTTTGATCCATGCTTGCAGCGCGTTCCTGACCAGTGATTCGCCTTGCCTCTACCGCGCTCTGTCTATTCTAGGAACGCGAATTCCAGAATATGTTCACGTTCTGCAACGGCTTTGAGGCTGCGACCCTGAAGATCCCGAATAAGGAGTCGACGGCTTACGGGTCTAGCAATGCACTGGGTAGGGGAGGGAACCTCCAGTACCAGTCCTCGTATGCCGGGCAAAACGACCCCTACAATCTTGTCACCGTTAACCAAGGCGGTGTCGTTGTTGATGGCGGGCGCGACGGCACCACTAGTTCCTGGCCCGCTGCAATGCCCGACGACGGTCACTTCGTACACAACGCGCCTGCACAACCGCCTCGCAAGCAGATCATCGGCTTTGCGAAGTTCCGCACTCGGGAGGAGGCGCTGGCTGCCAGAGACCAGTTGCAGGGCCGGCGTGTCGATATTGAGAAGGGCGCAGTGCTGAAGGCTGAGATGGCCAAGAAGAATCTGCACACGAAGCGAGGTGTTGGTCCCTTGGGAGGGACATCTTCAAGCACCGGCGGTGGCGGCGGCGGCGGCGGCGCAGTACCTTTAGCGTCTGACGGGCTGGGCTACGGCGAACAGCTAAGTTCGCGGGATAGAGATGCCATGACTGCCCTTGGTCTTCGTCGGGAGAGCAGGATCCACGCGGGCGACCGCGATGAAGACGAGCGACATCGGGCGACTCGAGAGCGAGAGCTCAGTATCACCATGGGTCTTGGCTCTCTCGGCACGCGCGGACCCAGAGAGCGTGCAGAGGAAGACGAGAGAGAACGAGAAAGGCGACGCAAAGAGGCCAGGTTGCGCTCTGGCAATACCAGCGCATTCGATGCCTTCCATTCGATTCCTGCTGGCCGTTTAGCACCCGGTGTAGAATTGGCCGCCAACGGTTTTGGATCACACTCGCAAGCTTCGATGCCGAACTTGTCAGCGTACGACGGCTTCGCAGGTGTTGCGGGGGTGAATCCCTGGGGTAGCGCTGGCACTTATAGGAAACCGTCTGTCCCGATCTTGACCAATGCCACTGTTCGACCTGCATCACCTGGCGCTCAGTCGTCTCCGCCCAATAGGGAGGCCGTGTATCCTATGTCCGCGGGGCCGCTGTCGGCGTCGTCAGTTGTCTCGGATAATGACCTGCCAGGTAACATGCCCAATACTGCGCCACCGCTATCTCCGCCCACGAATCCATCCTCCCTGCCGTCGCATCCATCCTTACCCTCTCGGCCAGCAAGGCCCTACTCCCCGTTGGCCGACCCGCAAGGCCAACAGGTTGCGTTTGGCACCGTCGGCCACGGTCATGCCGGGTCGGTACCCCCGTCGAGTGCATCCAGTGTATCTGGGTCGCAAGCTAGTGAGAACGAGCTGTCGAGGTCCATGGCGGGCCTGACGATGAGTCAAGGTTCGACATCACCGCAGCTGCCTTCTCCGTCGTCTGGTGCCAGCTCTGGTACGAGGGGCAATCCCGGAGATCAAAACCCACCGGTGAGTGCTGTGAGATGGCGTCAGTTGTAGGGGATGCTCATGCTCTCTCAGATTAACACGCTGTATGTTGGGAACCTGCCAACGTCGCCGATGCCTACGGGCTATCCGCCAAGCTACTTGGAGGATGCTCTTCGTGATCTGTTCTCCCGGCGTCCAGGTTACCGTAAGTTATGCTTCAGGCAGAAGAGTAATGGACCGATGTGTTTCGTTGAGGTGCGTACATAATATTCTTTTCGCGAGTCACATTTCTCATTCTTTCTTAGTTCGAGGATGTCAACTACGCTACCAAAGCTCTTAATGAACTGTACGGACATCCGTTGGGTGGCCTCGTTAAAGGAGGTGGCATACGCCTGTCGTACAGCAAGAATCCGTTAGGAGTCCGTACACCTACGACAGGCGGTCACCAGCATCATCAGCAGCACGCTGGTGCTGGACAATCTTCAACGCAGGTCCCATCTGCCTTCGCGGAACCCTTTCAGCCCAGGCAACCTCAGCCCACTTACATAGACCCGGACCTGAACCGCTCTATCCGTCGCGACACCTCTGGCATGACATCTCCCACATATCATTATTCGGTTTCGCCTCCACCTCGGTTCTTCTCTCCATCGCCCTCATCGCAACAATATAACCCGCAGGCGACAAACGCAGCCTACCCAAGAGGGAATCCGCAAGGCTACACCTCATCGACGTTCTCGCCTTTCGCTATGTCTCCGTCTCCTCATCCTATACCCGATCAGTCTAGCGCTGACAGCAACAACGAGCATTTTCCTCACTCAATGTCCACGCAAACCAACAACCTAGAGGCCGCTCGTGCCGGCTGATTCGAGACGCATTCTGCATATATCACGTGTATATTCACTTATGATCATATCCATATACTCTGCTCGCATATATTTCTTTAGGTTATGTGTTGTTGTCGTTTTGGACGCTCATCTCTTATTCTTCATCCTACCCCCGCAAATTGTTTCCGCCCATCTCAATCCATCACTAGTAACATATATCTCCTTTTGTCAGCGTCACCTTATTATGCGCCGTTTGCAGTTTTGTCATCCATTCTCTCTACATGAGTTCCCGCAATCCGTCTTGTCGTTCCTTTCAGCAACTTTCCCCAGTTTTGCATACCATGCTCGCTGTTCTGACTAGTATCTCCTTGAGGTTACACCTCTTTATCGTTTGTCTGAATCCTCCCTGTATGCTACATCAGTCGCGAAAGCTGCTTTATATCCCGGATCTCTTGCAATGATAGCCAATGAACTCTAATCGTTCATGTGTGCATTGGACATATTAGACAATCATACAGGTATCCTACGCATAAGCACGCATGTTACCCGGTGTCTCCATCCTTCGCACTGAGTTCTGAAGGTACCGGGGACGGCGAAGCTGAGGCTACCGCTAGACTTGTAGCACCGAACTTCAGCTTGATTTTCCGTGGAGCCTCATCCGACTGTTTGGGCTCCGTAGCGCGACCTGACTTTTCCTCCTCGACGCCCACGTTAGGTCGCTTGACCGCTTTGCTCGCCAGGCGTTCCATAAGCCCATCATCCTCGTCGTCTTCCCTCCGCCGTTTCGGAGTTAGAGGCTCTAAGGATGCTGGCGAAGACGGGACAGATGAGGCCGATTTTGACAGGAGCGCTTCAAGCTCCCGATCAGTCTCATCCTCGTCTTCCTCCATGGGCTTGAAGACTTTGGCCGGTATTTGCCTATGGGACAACGTCGGACTGGGAGGCACCTCGTCTCCAGAGAAAGGTTGGGAGATAGGACTCGGCTTCGGAGAGGAAGAAGGCAATTGCGACGTTGAAGCTTCCATGGACCCATTCGGAGGCTCGTCCTCGTCCTCGTAGTCCAATAGACTACCAAGAGCGGGGGAAGGGGACCGAAGCGGGGTGGGATTCGGAGGACGAACAGGTCTCATTGCTGGACCCCCTCTTAAGCGTTTTCGCCTTATACCACCAGGGGGCGGCGTGCTTTGCGCTCTCGGGAACGGAGAAGTGAGAAGGGTCATCTCTTCTTCGTCGTCGTCGGTATTGAAATAGCTCTCCTCCTCGGCTTCCAGTAATCGCCCCTGACCCCATATACTGCGCCGCTCCGGTGTTCTGCAAGAAAGAGACTCGACATTTTAGCAGCACTCGTGAAAAGATAACAGTGGACATACGCCTCTGGTTTGGAAGGCTCAATGGGTGGAGGCTCAATGTTCATCTCATAGCGGCGGATGAGCGCCTTGAATCGTGCGGTTCCTAGACCCGATTCCGAAAGCTTCTTGATAGTAGCCTGATGGGTAGTCATACAATGATGTATGAGATCCTTCATGTTCTCCTGTATTGTCAGTCAGTAGATTGAACGGAGAGCAAATTACGGCCTCCTTACCCGGCGCATATGCTCAAAGAATTCTTGACACGAACAGCTGATTAGGTTGTCTCTGCGAGACTCGCGCACGGTTAAATCGAGGATGGGTTTGAGAATGTCGAGTTTGATGAGGTGCGCGTTCATATTCCTGTTGTTCAACTTTAGAAGTGCCCTGAAGAACCGGAAAGCCGCTGGGCGAAAAGCGTTACAAGCCACCAGTGACACGAGTGGTGGCAGACATACCAAGGCGAAGGTGCTTATCTCGCGTGCCTAGTAGTGAGGCAACTCGAGAAGCGATATTAGAGGACAGGATGTAGAAATGACTGCGGAAGGAGTGTTGTAGGGCGAAACTTGACAGGAGATCGCAAAGGTAGAGGAAAAGATTGGATTTTTCTCGTGTCAAACCGAGGGTCGGATCTGACGGAACGACACAGAATGAGGTGAAACGTTGAAAAGCCGACCAGTCAAACAAGCCTACCCGTGACGTTCTTATAGTCTGGTAAGTCAGTGAGGGACTTGAACAGTGTGTCGATGCATTGCTTGTAGAAGTAGTCCAGGAAGATCTCCGTACTTGGGTCGTCTTTCCTTGTAAGCATTTTGATACCAAGAGCCTGTCAAGCACGCGCACATGAGCTAAACAAACCGTACGGTATAGCCGGCATGATGCGTGCAGTAGGGAAGGGACACAAGGAAGGCAAAAAAGAGGACACACTCACAGCTGGTGCATCAAGTCCGCCATCAGGAGGAATCTCTAAGAGTAACTTCAGAGAATCGCCTATCTGGCTCTGCACTGCCAAATCGCGACTCTGAGACAAGACTCTGCACATCAGTGACAGTAGGGTTTCCGGTGCTGCAGGAGTTGCAGGTTTCTCCTTGCCCGTCTCTCCAGTGATTTGGATCTGTCTCCGGACCATGTACCCGCGGACTCCATTTGTGTCGTGGTCCAGCATCGCAGAGAGGATCTCACCACCAGCAGCGATCATCTGTCTCCCTTCTTCTGTCTTCTCAGAGTGCGAAAATGCCCATTGCACGGCGAGAAGAAGACCTCGGTCTACCAGAGTCCGGAACAGCGCCATTCGTGCGGGGAGTTGGACATTCTTACCCATAGCACACAGCTGCTGGACCAATAGAACGACCTCTCGTCGATGGGACTCGCTCCGTTCTGGTGGCCTAGATCTTGCGTCTCCATTGGGTACAGTGTGGCCGTTGGGTTGTGCCGACCCGTTGGAAGACTTCTGCGGTTCGTCGACATCCATCGCGTCCTCAGGTTTATCCCCGTCAGCAGGCTTCTCGGCATCTTTCCCATCCTCCTTGTCCATAGTCTCTGGTTTTTTTCCGCTCCCAACGTCCGATTCCTCAAAGATTTCCACGATCTCCTTCAAGAACGCTTGATCACTCTGCACGTGGGTGATGATATCTATCTGGTTGAAAATGATGCACGAGTTCAGTACGTTGAACGTGGAATCGTCAATCGCGCGCGCGAGCACGACATCCTTGAGGAACTGCAGCCGGTACGTCTGATGTATCTTTCTCTGGATGACTTCGTCACGGATAGGGATGGGTTGGTGGAAGCGCGTGGTCTGCCCCAGGAACTCGCGGTAGTTGGCTTTATACGTGGGAAACTCGGGGTCATCTACGGATAATAACCAGAGGGCCGGCGTGAGTGAACGAGCCATGCTGAGGCGACTTAGCGAGAGACGGACATTCGAGCATGCCTACGACGCCAAAGAAGACGTCGTCATCGAGGACGTGTTCATACATGGTATGATCATTGAGGAGGACTGCGTGCGTGTTTAGCCACTACCTCGGGACTGTATTGCAGAACTTACGTATGGTCTGCATGAGGGTGCAAAGAGCATGTAAGTTATCGAGGCTCTCAAGGTCTTCCGCCTGGTTGAATACGTCTACTAGATGCTTGATGTATCCCTACTCGCGATAAGAGATAAACTCAGCCGAGGCTGTTGTCACTCACTTCCTGCTGAATATGTTCGCACATTCGCTCCTTGAGGTGGGCAGTGCGGGCCAGTGATTTGATTGCTCGCTCAATCTCGCTTATAACCCCCAGAGCCGGAGGTGGCAATCGGCCAGCCCTGACGATGGCTGCTGTCGAGATTCCATTGGGTGTCGATGGTTCCGGCCCAATATTTGGCGAACTTGTCATTTGCTGGTCCTCTGTCACGACGATATGGCTATGCCACGAATGGACGTAACAAACAGAGTACTCACCCGTGCCTCCCGCATTCATTTCCCTTTGTCGCGTGACTATGAAGTTCCATACTTCCAGACACCCATCAGGGTCTTGAAAAGACAGCGCGTAGTCAACTCCGTCCGGCTCCGTCCAGACAATCAACGTATCTGATATCAGTTACCTTCTCAGTATCACCCGCAGAAACAAACGCGCATATACGCACCTTGTTGCCGCTGATATACATCGCTAGCTCGGATTGACGTCTGGAGAATGAGGGTCTGGGGGTCTGCCTCTGACCGCGCTATCAGGTAGGCTTCTTCAGATGGTCCTTCTTGGTACGGAGAACAGAACGCAGTGCCTTGATCGACCCAACGCGAGCCGACCAGTTCGTACACCTTGATAATATTAGGGACGACGAGCCATTGCTCAAGACCACAATCCAACTCACTTTGACGCGCTTCAGATCGTAGTTGTCCTCGAATATGAACTCATGGTGCCCCTCTTCATTCGATCCGGCCGCATCGCCCGACTCGTGCTGCTCCTCCATCGCCCCGTTCTCCTGCGCCACGTCTTTCCCATCCTCCCCACCCGCGGTGTTTCCAGTTCCGTTCTCTGTAATGTCAGAAGGGGTGATGTCAGGCTCATGAGAGACATCGGCCGGTAATGTGATGGGAGCTTGGGTTTGCGAGTCTTGCAGCTCAGAAGTCACGGCGGACGCGGCAGCGCCGTCGCTGCTCATGACAAGAAAGAACTAATGCCCAGATAGCGAATATGATAGACAAACAAGGGATTAGAATAATATGGTGGTATATACGGCGGCGGTTCAGGACATGCAGCGGTGTTGCAACCGCCAAAGCCGAAAATGCGTAGACAGACGCAGGCTCCTAAACCACCGTCCTTAGCGTTCTCGCTCCTCCTTTACTAGGGCGCACGTGCAATGTTATGTAATACAAATCTATTTTTAATTTATTACCGGATACAGAATGAACAGAGGAGGAGAACGCTATAGGACGGCTGGAAGAAATCGTCTCCCCGAGATCACCGAGTATGACTAAGCATTCCGAAAGCGGTAGCGGCTGAGGCCTTCCACCAGCAGTCGACGGGATGTAGTACAAGCAGTGGCACGCATACCTATGGAATTTGAAGCACATTCTATTTGTATATAATGCACCAATGGTCTGACATAGACAAAAGCAAATACAAGCATTGACAGTGTCACTGAGGGCTGAACATTGGGTTCACAAGCCATGATAAATTCCTCTGAGGGACAATAGTTCACGGGGGGTGTGTACACTGGGGGGGTACCAGTAAGATAGCTTTTATGCCTTTCTATATAGTTTTACCCCTCCTAGTTTTCAGGTGCTCC